GTGTGTGTGTGTGTGTGTTCATGCTTACAGGACTCTTTGTGCAGGGCAGGACAATAGTGTTCTGTGAGTGTGTGTGAGTTGCAGGCGGGGTCAGTCTGTACTGGATGGACAGCAGATCTATTATCTTACATTACAGCACATTCTTGCATGCTAACACTGAGAATGTGTGTTTAAATCTGTGATTGTAAGGTTTACAGTAACACAAGTGGCCTTTGAAACATTGACAATTAAAACATAGTGTAGCAACAATCAAAACGGCTTATTATCACGTAAAAGATACAGAAAAGAAAGGCACATTTTTCTGTATATTATTTCCAGAAAAGGCTGCTGTTTAAACTGGGCTCTTCTCAACATGCTGATGTTTTGATCATCTCAACCACAGTTCTAGACATTTACATTTATTCATTGATCAGATGCTTCTATCCAGACGTTATTTTATGTACTGAAAACCCCATGGCCAAAGAAGCTCCTGAGATGCTTCACCCAGTTATGATCATGACAGATATCATATATTCAGTGAGACGCGCCTCTGCTCGAGACTGACGCTGCACCCGCTGTCTGTCGGTAGACGCGCCCATCGCCGATTCTTCTAGACACTGTAGGATATTTTCCAGAGCTGCGTTTGAACATTTTGTGTGTTTTGTCTGATGAGATCGTTCAGTGTCGTGCCGCGCGCCTGCATCTGTGCGCGTGTCGTGATGTGAGTGCTGGAATATCGATCACCTCGCATATAAATCACATCCGTAGAAACGCTCGGTTTCACCGGGAGGATTCTGTTCGTGATTCGTGCGACCGATGAAAGGTTTCTGTGAGGAAATGAGAGATGAGGCGCCGCTCGGTGAATGCATATGTTGATGAGGGAGAGGGGGTTCTCACGTGTGTGTTTGTCTCCAGACTGCAGCTCTTCAGAGACAGACGGAGCTCACAGTGACTGTTCGCTGATCGATCGGTCGGTCATGACCTGGGCCCCGGAGGACGGCGCTATTCGCATCAATGTGGGAGGCTTCCGGCGGCGGCTGCTGTCCAAGCGACTCTCTCGGTTCCCCGAGACCAGGCTCGCACGCCTGCTCCGGTGCCGCTCCAAAGAGTCCATCCTCGAGCTGTGCGACGACTACGACGACTCTGAGAACGAGTTCTACTTCGACCGCAATCCGGCGCTCTTCCCGTACGTTTTACACTTCTACAACACGGGGAGGCTACACGTCATGGATGAGCTCTGCATCTTCTCCTTCAGTCAGGAGATCGAGTACTGGGGCATCGACGAGCTGTTCCTGGACTCGTGCTGCAGCGGCTCCTATCACTGCCGCAGGATGGAGCCCGAGGAGAGCGACTGGGAGGAGAGGAGCGAGGAGGCCAGCACCACCTCCTCCTTCCACGAGATCCTGGACTTCTACAGCGACGCCGGCAAATTTGACAAGCAGCTGCTCGGAAGCGTCCGGCGGAGGATCTGGCTGATGCTGGACAATCCCGGCTACTCGGTCCTCAGCCGGCTCATCAGCATCTTCTCCATTCTGGTGGTGCTGGGCTCCATCGCCTCCATGTGC